AGTTATGCATATGTTACCACAATCAATTTTAGAGCATTTTCATTACCCCCAAAAGAAACCCCATACCCCTCAGCTAATCACTCCCAAACATAGTAGCATCCCCTCTCTTTCCAGTCCCAACAATTAGTCATCTGTTCTTTATCTGTGTAGATTTGCCTACCATGGACATTTCATGTAAGTAGATTCAAGCTTGAATCCTTTGTGCTTCTTAATTTGATATTTTCAAGGTCCATACATATTGTAGTATGCATTAGTACTTATTCCTTTTTATTTTCAAATAATATTCTATTGTATGGATAGACCACCTTATCTTTATCTGTTCATCATTTGATAGACATTTGAGTTGTTTCCACTTTTTGACTGTTACGAATAATGCTACTGTGAACAATTGTGTACAAGTTTTGCAGTGGCATATGTTTTCAGTTATATTGGTTGTATACCTAAGAGTGGAGTCGCTGGATTGTATGGTAACTCTGTTTCACTATTTGAGGAACTGCTAACTGTTTTCCAAAATGGCTGTCCCATTTTATATTCCCACCAGCAGTGTATGAGCGTTGCAGATAAACACTTGTTTTATCTTCACATCATTACAAACTTGTTTTGTCTAATATTATTTTTTTGAAATAGAGCCTTGCTGTGTTGTCTAGGCTGACTTCAAACTCCTGGACTCAGTTGATCCTCCCCACTCAGCCTCCTGAGTGTATGGTACTACAGGTGTGTGCCACTGCACTGGCTCTATTTTTTTTATTATAGCCAAGATGACTATGAAGTGGTATCTTACTGTGGTTCCTCACTTAAAGAACCTGGTTTCCAGAGGCTATTTGTCTCTTGTAGGATAAATTGCCTTGTTGTGTGCAGATGTTTTAAGTTCTGCTGCTTCTATTCAGATGAGTTAGCTGCCTTGCCTTGATTTGCTTTCTGATATTCAGAGATTTATTGGAAATACTGTCCCTTATCCTTCTAATAAATGTGTGTTTGTATATATATACAGATGAATTCTTTGGCAGTCATTTTGGTGACATTACAGGAGGGAGAGACAATCAATCCTCAGAATTTAAACTGAAGTACCAACTTGTACTTTTAAATATCCTTTCAGTATAAATATCTCCAAATGTGGTCATTGTTTGTAAGAAGAATTATAGGATCAAAAATACTCCTATAATGAAGAAAAAAATAAGGAGGCCTAGAAAGGGTGAATCCAACCAAATCCTTTCAAAGTTTTTAGATTTGAATCTTTTTTGATAATACTGATTTGCGCTGCTTGTTAATATAGGCAATATAGGTGGGGTATCTTATGAACTACATAACAATTTCTTTCTCTCTCTGTCTTTCTCTCTTCCTTTCTTTCAAGTCTCGCTCTGTCACTCAGGCTAGAGTGCAGTGGTGCAATCTCAGCTCACTGAAACCTCTGCCTACCAAATAGCTGAAATTACAGGTGATTCTTGTGCCTCAGCCTACTGAGTAGATGGGTTTACAGGTGTGTGCTACTGTGCCTGGCTAGGTTTTGTATTTTTAGTAGAGATAGGGTTTCGACATGTTGGCCAGGCTGGTCTCGAACTCCTGGCCTCAAACAGTCTATCTACCTTGACCTCACAAAGTGCTGGGATTACGGGAATGAGTCACCTCGCCAAGCCCTAAATAGTAACTTCTAATGATGTCTTATTGGCTATAAGTTTTTCCTGGTTTCCTATCATCAAGTAAGCTCAGACACTTGCATACAGACTGGGAAATATAATAAAGAGCTAACATATATTGATTTTTCTACACGCCAGAAACTGTTGAAAATCCTTTCTATATATTACCTTATTTAATCCTTACAGTAACTGTGTGAAGTTGATAACTGTTTTTTGCTTGTTTTTGCATCTCATCTGTGTGGTAAAGAAACTGAGGGCATAGGATGGTTATGTAACTTATTCACATTCACACAGTTAGTAAATGGTACAACCACCTATTAAATCCACAGTTTGGTTTGTGAACTTGACTCTTAGTCATTAGACTATACTGCCTGACATTTGTAGAGAATTTTATTTACTTCTTTTTCATTTATTGAGACATGGTCTTGCTGTGTCACCCAGTTTGGAATACAGTGGCATGATCACTGCTTACTGCAGCTTCAACCTCCTAGGCTCAAGCAATTCTCCTGCCTCCTGTGTGGCTGAAGCTACAGGCGTGAGCCACTATGCCTGGCTAATGTATTTATTTGTTTTATTTATTTTTGGAGACAGGGTCTCACTCTGTCACCCAGGCTGGAGTGCAGTAGCACAGTCTTGGCTCAGTGCAACCTCTGCCTCCTGGGTTCAAGGGATTCTCCTGCCTCAGCCTCCTGAGTAGCTGGGACTACAGGCACACATGTCACAGTAGCTAATTTTTATATATTTTGGTAGAGATGGGGTTTCACCATGATAGCCAGACTGGTCTTGAACTCCTGACCTCAAGTGATTCTCTCACCTTGGCCTTCCAAGGTTCTGGGATTACAAATGTGAGCCACTGCACCTGGCCTTCGCCTGGCTAATTAAAAAAAATTTTTTTTGAGAGACAGGGTCTCACTATGTTGCCCAGGCTGGAGAATTTTAAATATATTATCTTTTTAATAAGGGAGAGACGAAATATTAAAACAAATGTTAAAACAAATGTTAGTTGTTAGGTAAGGAGTAGTGGTAAGTTGAAGAATAAGTACAAATTCATGACCTGCTGTTTAGAAGATAAACTGTGATCTAATGTTCTTTAATAGAAGTTCATATTTAGCTTAGATTCTAGTTTGGATAAGAAATGATTATCACTAAATTAGGCAAAATTTTCCTTTTTGAGGTGGATATGTAATTACCACATAGAATATTTTGTAGTTTGTCTTACATAATTAAGTAGGTGAAGAGGAGACTGAAAAATGTCATGGGAAGTATTAAAAAATTAGGCATGGGCCAGAATGTTAGTGACAGATTCAGTTTTTCCCATGCCAAAATATTTCAGAATAATTCTGATCCAAGTGTTTTTTGTTTTTCCACCAGAGTCTGATTTTGCAGCTCATCTTTTCTAAATAGATCTATTTTATGGTCTGTATATAGGTCATTCTGAATCAAGTTAACTTCGAAGTTGATTGGGACCTTGTTTCAAGCTTATTGAACAAAGATCTGTAACACAGAATTTTGGGCATAAGGCCATTTCCAGAGTCTGGTCCAAATAAGCAATGACAGACACAGATTGTCTCTTTCTTGGCTGAGGCTTTCTTTGTGCAGCTTGTCTCAGGACTCTCTTCTTTTGCCCTTTTAATACCCCCCTCTCTTTTCTATTCAGGGTAAAAATATTTCCATTTTCATTCTGTAGTTATTTTTTTCGCAAACATTTATTGTGTTTTTACTTTTGTACAAGGTTCTTTGCTTAAAACTTATAATGCCCTCCCTGTAGTAGCAGTAGCAGTTGCGAGGGTAGTAGGCCTTCTGAGATGATATTGTAGAAAATACATGAAATGTTAGGTAGTGTTGCTGTGTCATACTTCTTTCCTGCCTGCCTTTCTGTCTTTTGATGATTAGGAAAGGTTTTTCTTTAAGATCTTTAAATATTTCCTCCAGAGTTACAAGGGAGAGGAAAAAGAACAAAATGAAAACACATTTCTATACAGCAGTTTAAAATAATCATATCTTAAAAGAGAATTTTAAAATCTTGTCTGCTTATGGAGTTTATCATTTTATTTCCACATTTATTTTAGAAAATGTTTTCCTCTCTCAATAGAATTGCTTTTAGAATATTTTCATGTTTTCTTTAGAACTTTTGTTTATCACACAATTAATTTTATTTATTCACTTCTCAATCTGCTTATTTTTATAAAGGCCTTGCTTGACCATTTAAAAAGGAGTTTTCAAGTTTGGTCTCCTAATTTTCATAGTCTTTTCTTTATCTCTTAGAGTTCAACTTACCTTTATTTATGCTATTTTAGCTTTTCTCTAATCTTGGAGAAAGTGTTGTCTTTTCCTGCCTCTTTGCCCTGACTTATGCTGTGCCCTGTGCTAGGATTTTCACCTTTTCCCTACTCTCCTTTTTTCTCTTCTGCCTGCCAGATATGACTGGTAAAAATGGGGTTTCTTTCATGGAGTCTTTTGTTGTTGCTCCTGGAGTATTAATCATTCTTTTCTCTGTGCTCTCTATTTGTGTGTACTTAAAGACTTAAAAATTGTCTTATACTTAATCATTCAAATGAATAAATGTAATATGTATTATAACATTTATAATAAATCAAACATCTCTGAATCCACCATTAAAACTAAAAGCTGGGGCTGGGCGCGGTGGCTCAGGCCTGTAGTCCCAGAACTTTGGGAGGCCGAGGTGGGTGGATCACAAGGTCAAGAGATCAAGACCATCCTGGTCAACATGGTGAAACCCCGTCTCTGCTAAAAATACAAAAAATTAGCTGGGCACGGTGGCGCGGGCCTGTAATCCCAGCTACTCAGGAGGCTGAGGCAGGAGAATTGCCTGAACCCAGGAGGCGGAGGTTGCGGTGAGCCGAGATCGCGCCGTTGCTCTCCAGCCTGGGTAACAAGAGCGAAACTCCGTCTCAAAAAAAAAAAAAAAAAAAGAAAATTCCTTTTAAAATGTGAAGATTTCCTTGACATTAAAAATTTTGTGAACCATTATATAATTTCCAAACTGAACAGGGCAGTAGTTTCTTTTATTGTCATGTTTAGCCGGTAAATGGAAACACCATCATTTGTTACACGTCTTGAATTTTGTAAGCTTTGAATTATATAACACATATATAATTCAAATGTCTGTATGTATTCATGCTTTAAAAGGTGATTCCCCCGTACATGTTCGTTCTATTGATTACTTGCAAATTTGTTTTATGTATATCCTATTTTGATTTTGTTTGTTCTCCTTCAGGTGGTGACACATCAAGCATAGTCTTCATTTATTGAGAACTTGTCTTTGGATTTTTATCTTTTCTCTAGTTAGTACCTTTGATGTCCCTACCTCTAAGATCCACTTTCCTTTTTCTTTTTCCTTTTTCCTGGTGTCGTGGTGCTTGAGGATAGAACTGGCAGACGGGAAGCTGCATGGCACCGAAGACATGATGCCGGGGGTGGGGCGTGTAGGGGCTGGAGCTTTTCCCTTTGCTTCTGTACATAATGGGGAGTGGGACTACAAGACCAGTTCCCGCCAAGAAAATGAGGGTCCGCTTTTGTTTCAAATGAATTTTGGCATTTAAGATTTGTTTACCTTGGAATCAGTTGAGTTTCAAACTGCTAGTACCTTAATGTTTATTAGACTGGCTTTGAGGAGTCCTTCAAAATTGTATTGCTCGTGGCAAAACTGGAGGTTTGAACCTAATTGACATTCATCATATTCAAATACATAATGTGATACATTCGTGTTTTCCTATTAATATTTTAGAAATGCTTTATTTTAATTGAAGAGTTGTAGATTGGGTAGTTTGATAAATAAGTTTCAGATTTATTATTTTTTAAGTACTTTTTTGTATCAGGCAATGTTACAGTTTCTAATATGCTATTCCCATTTTATATAAGCTGTATTAGTCTGTTTTTGCATTGCTGATAAAGACGTACCTGAGATTTGGGAAGAAAAAGAGGTTCAATTGGACTTATAGTTTCACATGGCTGGGGTGGGTTAAGAATCATGCCAGGAGGCGAAAGGCACTTCTTACATGGCAGGGGCAAGAGAAAATGAGAAGGATGCGTAAGTGGAAACCTGTGATAAAAACATCAGATCTCATGAGACTTATCCACTACCATGAGAACAGTGTGGGGGAAACTGACCCCGGGATTCAATTACCTCCCACCAGTTTCCCCCGACAACACCTGGGAATTATGGGAGTATAATTCAAGATGAGATTTGGGTGGGGACACAGAGCCAAACCATATCATAAGCAAAATAAAATTTTAGTTAATTAAAACTTGTATAAAATTTATATCCATAAGCAAAAGACCTAGTATTCAAACCTAATTTTCTAATTTCAAGTTTGCATGCTATTAAAAAAAACACACACACAAAAAACCAGTGGGTCTAAGGATTGCCATAGGGTAATCTCCTGGGCCATTTAGTTCTCAACTGGGGTTACTCTGATTTTTGTCTCTCATATTTAAGACTAAAAAGCTTATTGTTTTTTTCTGTCAGACTGCTGCTTTTGCTACGTGAAGTTGAAGAAAAAAATGTGCAAGTAAGGGAATTTAAGTATGAGAGAGAATTAGTCTCACTGAAAAAGCTAACTCTCACTTGGTGAACATATGCATGCTGTTGTTATACAAATGTTCCAAACCTGCTCCTTTCGTCCTACCCGCTTTATTTGCTTACCCTGCCATCTGGAGGGTTGTGCTTTGCTGGACGTGTTGTGTTTTGGACTTTTATGATTCTGAATTGAGAGAATGGAGAGGGAATAGACCAGAGTAGAATTTTTCACGTAATTTGAAATAGTGTCCTGAATAGTTCTGTAGTGTGTGAGTGAGGTAGGAAGGGTGAAAAAAAAAAGGTTGATTTTAAGGCGAGTTGTGCATTCCATGATGTTTGAGAAAAATAGGGAAAGAACAAGACATTTTGGATTGATTTTTCTCTTGAGGATTGGGGACCATGTGGGATGCTCTTTTAATAGGGTTTAAACAGGTGAGATGTACACATTTTTCATTTTGTTTTCTCACATTTACTTCTTTTATAAAGATCTCCATGGTTACCCCATAGAGAGCAGCCTGGAAAAAGGCCAGATTGGGTGTAAGTGGACCAGTTAGAAGGCTGTTGCAATAGCCGAGGTGAGAGATGATAATAGATTGAGTAGGATTAAAGTGTTGGAAACAGATTTCTAGTATTTAAAGGTAAATGTGACAGGATTTAGTGAAATTAAACATGAAGTAAATGCTAGATGTCTGACTTATATAAATGAATAGAAATTGAAGTAGGAACATTGAAATAGGATTGAGTAGCCTGTGTGTTTGATTTTGAACACATTCACTGTTAAGGTACCATTGAAATTTCTGAGAGAATGTCAGTTTTATACATGAACCTACAGCTTAGAGGAGGGTTCTTGAATAGATACAGAAAAGCTTGTGTGTATATATGATAATTTAAGCCTGAATGTGGATGAGTTTGCCAAGGGGTAAAGAGGAAGATTCTGAGGCCTGAATTGCAGACACTGTTTATAAGATGACCTTACAAAGGAGATAGAGAATGAGTGTTTGGGAAAGGTGGAAACAAACCTAGGTGAATACTGGTCCATTGTTTCCACCTTCCAGTGAAATCTCAGTATTTTTCCTTCTACGGAGTTAGGGACTCCTCAACTTAATTCTGTGTCGAGTAGGATTGGGCCAAAATTTGTACTAGTTCTGGACCTATTGGAAAAGAAAGGAATTTAAAATGTGTGTTAGAGAGGCCAGGCGTGGTGGCTCATGCTTGTAATCTAGCACTTTAGGAGGCTGAGGCAGACAAATCACTTAAGGTCAGGAGTTTGAGATCAGCCTGGCCAACATGGTGAAACCCTGTCAAAATAAGCTGGGTGTGGTGCCTGTAGTCCCAGCTACTTGAGAGTTTGAGACATGAGAATCGCTTGAACCCAGGAGGCAGAGGTTGCAGTGAGCTGAGATCACCCCATTGCACTCCAGCCTGGGCGACAGAGCAAGAGCCTGTCTCAAAAAAAAAAAAAAAAAAAAAAGATGTGTTGAGAGGCATTCTACAAAAATGGGGCTTACATTTTGTAACATCAGTGATTGTATTAGAGAAACCTCAGAATTACTTGGGGATGGGGGTGGTCAGAATATGTGAATTGTTTCACTATAAAAACAGTTTTTTCAAGAACCGTGAAGAGTCAGATTTTGCCTTCCGTGCAAGCCAATATCTTTCCTAGATGCTAGTAGAAGACAGAAGACTTCTGGGCCAGAGACATAGGACTTTATTACTGATGAGAATAATGGGAGTCAGAGTGTTAGCATTTGTGCCAGTTTCCCAAGCCCACTGCTCCATGGAGGAAGGTGAAAAGGGCTGAGTGATGTGTGTGGTGATGCCTCTCCTGTGATGCACTGCAGTCTATTACAGGAGAGGTACCACCAGTTTAGGGAACCCAAACTTTGATAATGGACAGTAAGCCTACCTGACCTTTACCCTGGAGGGAGATGACATTTTTTTTTTTTTTTTGAGACAGAGTTTCACTCTGTCACCAGGCGCCAGGCTGGAGTGCAGTGGTGCGATCTCGGCTCACTGCAACCGCCACCTCCCAGGTTCAAGCAGTTCTCCTACTCAGCCTCCTGAGTAGCTGGGACTACAGGTGTGTACCACCACGCCCAGCTAATTTTAGTAGAGATGGGGTTTCACTGTGTTGGCCAGGATGGTCTCAATCTCTTGACCTTATGATCCGCCTGCCTCGGCCTTCCAAAGTGCTGGAAGTACAGATGTGAACCACCACTCCCAGCCCTTTTTTTAATTTTATATGGAGTCTCACTCTGTTGCCCAGGTTGGAGTAGAGTGGCATGATCTTTGTTCACTGCAACCTCTGCCTTCCGGGTTCAAGTGATCCTCATGCCTCAGTGCCCCCAAGTAGCTGAGACTACAGGTGTGCGCCACCATGTAGTGGTGTATTTTCATATTTTTAGTAGAGATGGGGTTTCTCCATGTTGGCCAGGCTGCTCTCGAACTCCTGACCTCAGGTGATCTGTCCCGCTCAGCCTCCCAAAGTGCTGGGATTACAGGCATGAGCCACTTGCCCAGCTGGAGATGACATCTTTATTGTACTAGACAGCAATCAAACCTGCCTTTTGCTCCTGAGGGAGACACTGTTTTTCGATTCCTTATATAGTACAAACATGCTTAACAAATTAGTATGGAACAAAAGGAATCAGTCTCTTTACTCACAAGAGGTACAGAAACATGAAAGATCCAAGTATGATTGCCTGCCAACAGTATTCACCCTTCATTTCAATATCTTCTTGGCTTCTGATAAGATTTTCTTCCCATGATGATACAGCTTCATTGGTCACTCTGTTTAATCTTTCTGACAGAGGCTGGGACCAAATCCATTTAGTTTTTCTTACGATGCATTTCACTAAAGTTACTATCAACAGGATGGCAGGATGAGGCCAGACTGCAATATTGACTTCAATTATGCTCCCCAGGGTGCAAGATCCTGCCAGCAGAACAAATGCAACAAACCTTTAGGGTCTACCTAAGAGAGCCAGGTGCTTTCTCTTTGTTTCTGCACTGACTTTCCTCTTGGCCCAAGGCATTAATCTAGTTACTGCAGAATATATAGTGCAGATTTGGCCTTGGTCTACAAAGAAGAAGTGTAGGGCTATTCTTTTCTCTGTAACAATCCTGGATAGTGATTTGAGATTGTCCTGAATGCCTCTAGGCCCAAGGTCATGTCATTGCTTGCTTTAGCTAAAGTCGGGAACAAATTTCAAATAACCTTTTCTAATTGGATGACTCCCATTGTAGCGATGATTGTCTTGGTGTACAAGCTTTCACATTTTCTGAAGAGAGGCAATGCCTGACTTCTACACAAGAAAAACTCCCAAGGACTTTGTGCCTATATAAGGAATGTGTTGTTTATATTGTGCTACCTCTCCTCACCCCCCACCACCCTTATGTGGGACCTACTTTTAAGTCAGAGGGCACAGGCTGCTAGTTTGCCTCCAGTGTTGCCTCCCTGATGTCTGGTAAGCCTTAGGGTTCTGAGTTCAGTATGAATACTTGTTTAGTTTTTGTTTGTGGAGAGACTCTGCCTGAAGGCAGTCAGTCCAATCTGTTCTGTTTTTTATCTATGCCACCAACTCGATGACCTTCATCTGTCCCTTGAAGTGACTGTCCCTGGAAGAGACTGAAATGAATAATAGCTACAGGAATAGGGGTGGAAAAGATGCCTAAAGTTATGGACAGGCATTTTGTGTGGGAGATTTGGGAGCTTGGACTATCCTCTGCTGCTTCTGAGAGACTGTGCGGTTAAGGAGAATGATGATTGAGTAGTGATCAAAGCTGTGGCAGGATAGGGGCAGACCCAGTAGTCAGTTAAATTTGAGATTTTCCACATTTGCAGAGAAATGTTCTTTGTCAGGGATGATTCTAAAAGAAAGATCAGTAATGTCCCTCCTTTTTCTTACTTCCCAATGTCTAAGGTGTTTTCCCCACAGGTGCCAGACAGGGTTGTTGTACCCTTTCGACTGCCACAAAATCAGTGTTT